GTGTGCATTAGACTTGTGATGTGTCGTTTTTTATACTTTGTTCCAACTTTAAATATTTTAATACCTGAACACACTGCTGCTGTTAAATAATTTCCAAATTTGGGATTGATAAAGTGTCTTTCTATTTATTTTATAGATAAAAAAAACACATCTATGTATTTTCAAGCTAAAGGTGATAGACAATATAAACTGTATACTGTTATTTTTTCAAAGACATGTTACATTTCAAAAGCATATATTGATATGTTTATGACAAACAATTGAAGACTGCTTTAATTTAACAAATCCTACAATACAAAAGTGGCAGATTTGCTTTATTAAACAGACCAGACCTAGGCTGCATACCAACACAATTAGGAACATGCTCACATCTCACTATGTTGGTCTGAAGAGCTGAAGCATTCAGACACAATGGTTGTCTCAGTGTTGTCTCATTCTATATCCTGTGAGAAAATGATATACATTTAGCATTCAAAATTCAACATACTATTCCTAGCCTGAGGAAGATCTGAATAATCAACAGATTTGAATGGAATCTCTAACATTTTCATGTAGAATAAAGACAAGAGTGATTATACAAATTACATTTATTGAAATTTGAAACAGAAGAGGAAGTCTCAATGTAAAGACATTTGGTCAAATGAAATGACACTGTGATAACAGCAACGCCAGCGTGGATGAAGCTGGTGCAGGTCTTTCTTCATGCCCCCCACAATCTGAAACAAAAAGTGAAGGAGCACAAATGAGAGAGCTGCAGCGAGAGCAAAACTCTGATCATTGAGAAAGAAGACACAAGAACTGCAAACAAAAACCTATGTTAAAACAAAGAAAAAAGACTTATAGTTTACATGATCACACAAATGATTTGTTTGTGACTTATAGTTTTATAAGTTTATACATTTATTTTATTTTTGCTTGACTCAGTTTTTTTCTCTCTTTTAAACTCATAGTTTTGCTTTATTCTGAGAAAGTGTTGCTTTATCTTTATGATACAAAACTAATCCCATAGAGAAACTCCCTCTGGAGGGAACTGTAGGATTTTAGCCTTTGCAGACCATTTACATGCACAGAAACCTTTCTAACACACTACAGGAAAGGGAAACTTTCTTTTATTTATGCTGCAGTTTCTTGTTGTTTTGGTTTGGGTTGCCTGGTTTATGTATTTATGATATGGTTATATTTATTATATTTTATGTTTATCTTAGAAATAAAATAACTCTGCCCTCTCTTACCGCAGGTCGCCGTGGTAACGATGCTGCGCTGCCGTAGCTCGGGGAGATGTGTGTGCGTGGCGGTGACCCACCTGAAGGCTCGCTCCGGCTGGGAGTGGCTCCGCAGCGCGCAGGGCTCCGACCTGCTGAGACACCTCCAGACTCTGGTCCAGAAACACGCCCACGACTCTGCAGGCGCCCAGACTCTGGACATTCCTCTGCTCATATGTGGAGATTTCAACGCCATCCCGACTGAGGAGGTGTACCGACGTTTCGCCGCATCGCCTCTTGGTTTGGACTCCGCCTACAAGAGGCTCAGTGAGGACGGTTCCACTGAGCCGGAGTACACAACGTGGAAGATCCGTCCTACGGGTGAGTGCTGCTCAACCCTCGACTACATCTGGTACAGTCGGGACACACTGAGGGTGGACGCAGTTTTGGACATGCCCACAGAGGAACAGATTGGGCCCAACAGGCTTCCGTCCTTTAGCTATCCATCCGACCATCTCTCTCTGGTTTGTGACTTCAGCTTTAAGGAGAAGGAGTGAGGTGAAGCAGAAGATGAAGGGACGACACTGAGAAGAGAAACTGTGGCTCCTGGTTGGCTTCTCTCCACAAGAAAGCTTCAGGATGTGACGCCATGTGGGAGCGATGATGGAGACGGGACACAGAGAACTAGAGGGGAGGTTGGGAAATGCAACTGGAATTGAAAAGTCTGATCACTTTACACGCAGATGTTGCGGAGATATACACTGCAAAAATTGAAGATGCAAATCTACCTCCCCAAAGTGTAACACTATGCGATATCTGCACCAGGTTACTGATCTGGACCTTCATCAGTACTGAAACACAAATTAAAAAATGTACCAGTATTGACGATAGCGGTGATATTTAAATAGTATTGGATGGTGATTGTTCTTGCATTTATATTGTGCCTTTATAGTCCTCCTACCACTCAATGCGCTTTAACACTACCCATTCACACGCTAATGGCAGATCTAGCCACACACCGATGGCTATATCTTGGGGGGATTTGGGGCCCAAGGACACTTCCACATGTGGATTTAAAGAGCCGGGTATTGAAACTGTCACACACAAAGGACTGTAACTTCATTACCAAAAAAGAGAAAATACAATAAAATGTAAAGAGGACTTTGCTTGTTTTATTTTTATAATATATGATATTTTGCCCACGATAATTGTGTAGTGAAAATCTCATATCGTGTCATTCCTAACACAACACTAAAAATTAGTAAATGTTGTGTTTCACACTGCCATTGTACTACAGAGTGAGAATAACGTTTTCTTGAGGATGATGTTTCTTTGCAGAATAGTGTTATGTTGATTACTCGTCTCCCCAATCTGCCTCTGTCTGGTTGGCTTGCCTATCACTGGGTAGGTAGGTAATTAAAGGGATGTTCACCCCAATCATTCAGTGATTCTTAAAGCAGATTGTTCAGGTTTTAGTTCTCCACGTTTTGAGTTTCTAATAATTTTCAACGCGTATAGTATGACGGAAATATGAAAGAAAATACTTAGTATAGTATGTCAAAATATGCCAAAAAACGACAATTGTAGTATGTCGAAATTATGCAAAAATAAAATACATAGTGTAGTATGTCAAAATGTAGTATAGTATGTCAACATTTTCAACAAAAAAAAACGTGTTTAGAAAATATCAGAAAAAACGACAGTATATGGCATGTCGATAAATATTTTTTTAAAACTACATATTGTATGTCAAAAAGGACAGTATAGCATTTAAAACATATCAGATAAGACGACACAGTACAACACTTTTTCAGAAATGTCACTTCCACACTGTTCTTTTACTTTAATCAGTTTAGATATTATACTGTACAGGTGTGGTATAAGGTTGTAACGATCAACTATATAAAATAGTTGTGTTAATTTAAACGCACAAGGGGTTCTTAAATGAAATAATATTATGAAAAGGTAAACAGAAATAATAAACGGATAATCTGCTTTCCCCCCAAAATAGTCCCCACGGAAATATATTAACTACAGGCTATCTGCATACATTCAAAAAAATAAACAAAGACAGGTTTCCTGCGTTATTCAATTGTACTGTATTCACAGTTTGAGCCAAACAAAACGTCCTCACTATACACTGAAATTGTCTTTTGGTCTAATCCAGACCATAGTTCATTGAAACACAAAAAAAGGCTGTTGCTCCTGCGACCGTCGGCGTCAACAACAGAAATGTTTGTAGTGCCTATTTAGGCTATAATCCACAAAAAAGGAAACAGGACGATCCGCGTGGCACAAAGGAGCGATCTCACCATGCGTTGGAGAGAATCTCTCTTTCTCTCTGTGCTCTCCAAGGAGACGTGCTTCCAGGTCGCTCGATGCAATATTCCCATATGGTTATTTTCAGTTATTTCCCCCGTTGCATTTAACATATATACACACATGCTGAGGAAAACTTGAATACCCGCACACATGCTTCCTCCTCCCGTGAGAACCACCCCTGGCATCCCGGTGACGCGCCCACTAAAAAGCCTCTGGGCGCGCCGCGACAGGTGAATCTGCAAATGAGGCTTGCAGAAACCACACCCCCAAACCTCACACAACAGTGGACATTTAACTGACTGTAGTTGCAAGGATGCATCATAGATTTTCATTTGAATCTAAATTACCTGCCTTTTCCCCTGCCCCTACAGTTTATAAGAAACACTGATATCAAACTGCGAGGTTTACGTTAAGTTAAGAATATGGACCAACTTATGTTACTTTTTTAAATGGAAGGATTGGATCACATATTTACTGTACTATTACATATATTTTAAAGAGGCCCAATTGTGCTTTTTGGGTTTCCCTTTCCTGAAGTGTGTAATATAGGTTTACCATGTAAATGGTCTGCAAAGGCTGAAATCCCAAAGTTCCCTCCAGAGGAAGTTTCTCTCCCCGGACAAATTCAGTTGAACTGCAATAATTCTGTCAAGAAGATTTGTATTTAACCAGAACCATGTGTATGGCGGAAATGCAATCAAAATATTAACATTGATTAATGTATATGATGGACATGTTTAGAACAGCCATATCATATTCCTAGAAGAAAAACAATTCATAAATGTTTGTGTCAAAGTTACAGCAACAAGAGTTAAGGAATTATTTGTAAACTGATTTAAAAACGGTTTTTTTCTAACATTTGCATTTCAACTTTTGACCACAACTGTGTGCTGTGCTCAATTTAAAATAATGCAGATTCATACTTTTAATCCCGCAAATTGAAAGGCCTTTTCAATCCATTTCCAATACCAAGTTTGTTCGGGAGAGAAAGTCCCTCTGGAGGGAACTTGGGAATGTTAGCCTTTGCAGACCATTTACATGCACACAAACATATCACACGCTACAGGAAAGGGAAGGGGTTTCCCAAAAGGATAAAAGGGCCTCTTTAAACTATTGTTGATATTTACAGGGATGGATGACATTACCCTGTGTAGATCAAAAGCACACACACACATAATGAAAAAAATAATAAATCACAGGTTCAAACCCCTCTGCAGTCAGCATGTCGTTGTGTCCCTGAGACACTTCACCCCAAATTGCTCCTGTCGGGATTGCCTACACTATTGAGTATGTAAGTCGCTTTGGATAAAAGATTCTAACAAGTAACAAATCAATAACACCACAATGGAAACAACTGGAGTTAGGTTTCAAATGTCTTTTTATATTTCAGTAAAATCTACTTTAATACACTTTGAAACAAGAGTACAACAAAATAGAATATACTTCAAAATGTTGAATATACAAACAGTTCAGTCTGAACAAACAGCTTTCTCTCTGTACATACAAATAAAAATGAAATGTAGGGGCTGGGCCAAAAAGGGCAGTAAAAAAAAGTGTGCTGGCAAATTGACCCTCTGTTTTAAGTGACCTGGGATCCACAGTGGTTTCCTATATATAAATTTGACATATTTTGATTTCCAATGTCTGTCTTTAATCATTATTTTAATTCCTTCTTGATACTTTTTGGGTGATCTTTTTAAAAGACATGGCATCATGCATCAGCACTGAGTCGCATTTCCATGCAGCCAGATAGTAAGGTTTGTAAAAAGAGGAAACATTTGTCTTTTTTTTTTTAAATATCCGAGCTTTTGTCGAATAAATGTGAAATTCAAGTCTAGAGATGTCCCTAGATGCTGGAGGACACACTGTTCGACAACATGTTGTCGTTTCAACCAATATGAGCGTGTAACAGCCTGATAGTGACAGAACTAATATTAATACTAGTTCTTCTTAGTTTGAATAATACTGTGCTTGGTACAAGGTATCAAAACACAAAAAAACAGCTTATTGTTCAGACGTTAAATGAAAAAGAAAACATTTAAATCTAAGGCGGTTCTGTTAACTTTAGCTCCGTAAACTGAATATAGTAGATATATATTTAAATATGTACATACATGACCACTTTGTCTGATATTGTTCCTTCTTAGAGCTCATCGCAGCTCTGCCTTCTGTCTCGCTGTTAGCAATAGTAGCACCACCCACACTTCTGCACAGTAATAGAAGTATTTAACAAAAAGAAAAAGGAAGTTTGCTGGTTGTTTAACATCAGTAGAGGCAGAAGTATAAACACATGGTCTCCACAAAGGTTTTATTACACCCTTCACTGTGTTTTACTGTGATTTCAAAGTTCACATTTTGGTTAGCGGTAATTATTTGCCTCCATATGTAGTGTTTCTACTTATTTTCAAGGTTCCCGATTGCAGTCAGTGACAGCGATCCGTTTGGAAAGGCATACGTTGTAGTGATCGAGGTTGGTCCCGTTTACCTTTTATCCAACAAGTCCCTTTTAAAGTCTGTGTGCGTTCCTATGATGCAGAGACAATTGGAGAGGTGTCGGGGGGGTTGCAATCGGTAAAGTTTGGGGGATAAAAGGTGAAGACGTGTTTTGGGACTAAAAAACTGGCCTTTAGGAGTCTTTAAAAGTCTCTCAGACGGCTGCTGGTTATTACAAGATTAAAATCAACGTCAAAGTAACTCTGAAATGTTTCAGCACTCGATCTCTTCAGTCTTTATCGTCACGTCGGGGGTGTCCAGTTGGACGACCATCTCCACGCCGTCCGACTTGGCGTGGTTCTGCTGGACAGCGAGCGCTTGGATGTGGACTCCAGCAGCCTTCAGCTTCTCCATGGTGACGCCCCCACCCCCCGGCGCTCCGATCACCAGCTCCGACCCGTTAAAGATGCCGCTTATGATCCGAGGCTGCGTCGTCATCGTGTGATTGGACGTCGATAATGTCACCACCCCGCCCGCGCTGCCCGCCTGCGACACCACCAGAGTCTGTTGCTGCCCCTGCGTCGGCACGGTGAGCCTCATCACCTGCGTCCCCGGGCCCACGCTGACCGGCCCGAGGGCCCGCACCGTGAGGGGGCTCCCGAGGAGGCTGAGGCCCCCCGGGGGGCCCCCCATGCCAGGCTTGTGGGAGCCGCTGGAGGTCTGGAGGTGGCACTGAGCTAGCTGGTGGGCGGGGATGGTGATGATCTTGGCCAGTTGGACGGTGATCTTGTCCCCGTTCTCTGCTGTGGCCGGGACCATGGTGGGGATGGTCTGGATCACAACCTACACAAACAGAAAACAGCATGATGTTTTATCTTCTAGATTAATCCTTGAGCCTATCAAAAAGTTGCTCAAAGTACAAGGTGATATCTGGTTTCAACAGGGATAGGCAGGACATTTTCATTATATCATCATAAACATTCAGAGGCTAAAAGTGGCATTTTCTAGAATTGTTGCATGAAGAATTACTCTAACCATTAACCAATTATTTAAAAGAAATGTGCAGATTACTTTTCCATCAACTAGTCCTTGCACTTCTAGTTAACTTGTCTTAAACATAAAAAAAGATTAAAAACCAACAATGTTAGCACATAAAATGCAGTACAATGCCAGTTTAAAAATCCCAATATAATATATATATCTCTCCAATTATATAGTACTGTTGATATGGGCTAGATGTATTTATTATTATTTCAAATGTAATCAAAGTAAGTTAACATGGGCGACAGAAAAAGGATGGATGGTTGGAATATTTGAAATGGATAAAAAAAAATACTTAACATTTTTTTCTCCAAAATTTATTAACATATATAATGCTCTCCACACACCTTCTGCTGTGAGTTGGT